ACAGAGACACACACAGACACACACACACACACACACACACACACACACACACACACACACACACAGGTGGATTTCACAATCATCTGCTCAGATCATGTAAGACAGAAATGCAGATGTAACAAAAGATCAGACTTACCCACGAGCACACACATGACATCCATCAGCACCATAAACAACTTGTTCTTCTTGAGCTCTGGCATGACTGTGATCTGCTCGGCTCTTCTGGGGTTGATTGAAACTCAGGTGACTCGCGTGTTGTTCCGGGTGTCCCGTCACCTGCGTTAAGGTGCGCTGATGATGTATCGCGTTGCTGAATTTCACGGACGCGAGTGAACTAGACGCGTGAGGAGTGTGAAGACTGAACCACTAACAGTTTGAACTGACTTGTTTACTCGCCCAGGTACACGCCCACCGCTGACGTCATCTGCACACACACACACACACACACACACTGTAGTTGAAGATATAACACAAGATTAACCCGTTCAGACTAGACTAGAATTATGTTACAAGCAAACACAAATGTGACAATATTTATGTTATTTCTAGCATCAATGTATCCACAAATGATAATCACTTTTTAATTGTTACATCTGATGTCCATTATAATTTATAAATTGTATATACTTTATAAGTTATTTCTAGAAAACTTTTTATAAATCAATATATTTTATCAAATGTAACAATAGTAATTGTAGTTTATTTAATACACTGACCTTTGTGACGGGGCAAGTTGTCACAATCAAAACTAAATTGTATATACTTTATAAGTACTTTTTATAAATCAATATATTTTATCAAATGTAACAATAGTAATTGTAGTTTATTTAATACACTGACCTTTGTGACGGGGCAAGTTGTCACAATCAAAACTGCCATTGAACAGTTTATTATAGGCGAAATGTAAAGAGTAAAACAGTTATACAATAATTTAACAGAAAAATGATAAGTAACAATAGTTTTGGCTATTTATAATGAATAAATGGTATAAAATATTTCAACTGCAACTTAAATCTGAAAAGCATCATTGTCCTGCTAACAATCCAGCCTTTTACTTTCATTATGTTGTAAACCGTACACAATATCAATATATTTTATCAAATGTAACAATAGTAATTGTAGTTTATTTAATACACTGACCTTTGTGACGGGGCAAGTTGTCACAATCAAAACAGAAAAATGATAAGTAACAATAGTTTTGGCTATTTATAATGAATAAATGGTATAAAATATTTCAACTGCAACTTAAATCTGAAAAGCATCATTGTCCTGCTAACAATCCAGCCTTTTACTTTCATTATGTTGTAAACCGTACACAATATGTATGTATGTCAGTTGTGGTTTTATTGTGATCACTAGTTAAAACAGCTATAACAATAATGGGATAATATTTTAGTTTGTAGGACAAAATAAATAAATTATTATGCCCTTTTATGAACCTTCTTCCTTCTTCCCAAGGATGTTTTGTCAGGTTGTGCTATTGTTCTGTTGACATTAGGGAAGTTAAATACAGAAATACCCAAAGTTATCAAATTTGTATACAAAAGAGAGATTTTTACATTCATTTCTCCATGCACAAAAGATCTCCACTGTCAAAGTGTCACAGCAGTCAAAGTGCAAAGAAAAATTACCTATGATCAATCACCCCACCCAAGAAATATCAGTAAATATAACCAAAGTCCAACACATGCTGGCATTTCAAAGCGCTCAATACAGGTATAACTATATATACATATTTTCTCAAATTAAGCAAGATATACAGTGTATACTTTCAAATATCAACCTTTGTGACTTGAGATAACAATAACACGAGGTGATTTTCTGTTCACTTTATTAGACAAACATCAATAACGTGCTTTATCAGAATATATACATACAGAGCCTTGAGTTTCTCAACATCACTACAGGAATGACAAATATTGTGCTAAGCATTAATCCATTCCTTTTTTGAGCCACATTCACAGGCTAACACATTCCCGATGGAATGGTGGAATTCCAGAAGCATGTTAACGGTCCGCAGGGCTCTGGCAAGTCAGTGGGAATATCTATCTATTGTCAACAATAGCACATTTCATCCACAATAAATATTGCTGCACCAGCTCTGGCACACGGCCGATCTGCACTCCTGCCGCCAAAGATCAACTCTCTGGAGCCGGATGTATGTGTGACACTGCCCTGGCCCGTCTCTGTCCAAACAAAGAGGGACTTTATCGGGAATTCCAGTCGCAGGAAAGATGGACCAGCGGTGGTGAACTCTGGCCCAAAGCCACAGCATTCCCAACAAAATGTTCCCGATGCCGAGTGTCCCTCTCACTGTCCTTTCCTTTTCCACAGAATCTGGTTTATCTTCAGATACAGTTCACAAAAATAAACCTTTGACATTATTTTGGAACGGCATTGCTCAAATCTTTTCATTAGGAAATGAAAAAATGTATATATAGTTCAGATCAGATGGGTTATGTAGTTTTTCACAGCTTTCCAGGTTACCAGTCTGTCGGATTCACAGACTAAAATAGCTTACATTCATTTGTAGGCTGACAACACAAATGTGGTAATTTCACCAGACAAAAAAAAAAAAAAAAGACTGGATCTAACATTTCTAGAAAGGTTCCAGTTTTGTCTGGAATCTGTAGTTCTGTCTGATATCCAAAACCAGTTAGAATGGATTCTGTCTGATATTCAAAACCAGTTAAAATGGAATTTTGTCTGATGTCCAAAACCAGTTAGGACTGAGTTCTGTCTGATATCCAAACCCAGTTCGAATTTAGTTTAGTCTGATATCCAAAAAGGCCAACAGAGGAAACTGGGACAGAGCAGAAAGCAGGAGATGACAGGTATAACGCAAGCAGCAGTGCTACATCAGAAATACACAATAAAAAACTAAATTAAAAAAAACATTGAAAAACACAAAATCCAGTTCTTTAGTTAAAACAGGTCTGTATAATTCCAAGCTGTGTCCATGATGTAACCAGGATGTGTTGTCTCGTCTGGGGCTGTTTGTCCTTTATTGTGTCAACAGAAATGGGAGGGTTTAAGATGACTAATTATGCATTAAAAATGTAATATTAAATATCACAATATGAAAGTAACAATGTGGATACTTTTTATTTTTTATTTTTCAAGCAGCATTTGCTAATAAAAAATGAGACAAGCTATATCATGCCACCAGTAAAATGGCACTGTTTTATCTCAGGAATAGCAAATATAGCCCAAGTTTCCATGCAACAAAAGCACATTTTCCTACCCGGCACATTTTTTCCATGCATTTGGCAACTGGGTATCAGTGGTTAATGCACATTTAACTCGAGACCAGAGTGGTTTTGTGAGAGAGGTGTCACATGTGGAAATGACTAGCGGTCCTCATGCGGTGTCCTTGACCTAGACGAGATCTGACAGGAAGCGTTCAGATAAAAAGGCTGCTTGGAAAAAGTTCACAATTCATTTTCAAGTGTTGGGCAGAACAGCAATTGGATGCAATCTCTTGAACCTGCCCATGAAACCATTGTAAATCCAGTGCAACTATTATAATTAACTGCTGCTGTCTACACTGGACACAGTTTACAGAGTAGGCAAGTTTCTGATTTTAATTGCACCCAGCTTAATGTACCAGCCTTATGCCATTTCAACTATCCCTGCACAAGATATCTGTCAATCAGAAAGCACACAGAGATGGTGGTTGATATGAGGGCTCATGTTTTGGTGGGCTGGAGAGAGTGGGACTGTGAAACTCCAGTGATGCAAAACTCATTATTTACAAGCCTTGTAGGAAATCCGGACTCTCATCCAGGTCAAGAGTCCTGTACTCGTCTACGGTCGTAATGACCGGCGCGTAGCTCTGGGACACGTGGATGTAGCCGCATAAATCTGCTTGACTACTTTTGTAGGTGAAGAGGGAATCAAACAAGAGATCATCAGATGAGGGCTGGGGATCTTCTTTATATCCAGCAGGAATGACTTGGTCTAGTTTGGTGTAGCTCTGGTTGAGGAAATGTGTGGGGAAAGCTTGAGCTGGTGTGAGTTTGGAGTCCTGGTGGGTTACAGCAGAAGTGCTGTTGTAGGTCTTGGTTTCGGTCTCATTGCTGTCTTGTGGAACAGTGTGGTAGGTGGACACCTGGACAGGGACGTAGTCTTTTTCACCACAATCCTGATAGATTGTAGTCTGATCCACAGAGATGATGGAGCTCAAGGTGGACGAGGATGGTAGCTTATGCTGTTGAACATTGAAGAGAAAACTGAATGAAACTGATCTTGCTGTGGTTTATATATATACTGTATATACACACACACACACACAGGGGTGCACATAAGTGGTCCACATGTGCGCATGTGTGACCAAAATAAAAAATGCACTGGGTTAATAAGTTCAGACCTCTCATGCCGTACCAACATGGTTGACAGCGATTAATGCACAATCACCATTTTAGATCTACTTACTGTAATACGGTATAAGATTCCCATTCGAACTGAAAGCATAAATCTAGGCTATGCGCTGCCGGTTTCAGAGCAAAACGCAAAACTGTGACATTTCATGCACTGATGTGCCTCACTTGGCAGTGCTAAAACCGGCAGCGCATATACTTACTTGCCAGCAACCTGCCAAAATAAAAGCTTGCTGATTTTAAAATGGTTTGAAAATGTTGAAAATAGGGATGTAACGATTACCGGTTTGATGATAAATCATGATTTCAAATTAATTATCATTAAAACCGTATTAGATTACCGCGATTTGAACAACTCACAATAAATAAATACTGTCCAGCATGAAGCACAGTTTTAAGCATGCAGAGCAGTTTCGTTTTGAGTGAAAACTGGGCGGAAAAGCTGGAGGTTTTAAAAGAGTGCTAAGGGAATTTTACAAATGAATATATGAATTAATTAATTATATGAATGTACCGCTGAAGGTTCTGACTGTCTTCAGAAACAATTCGATGGCATTTTGTTTTCATCTTCGCTCCATGTACACTCTTAAAAATAAAGGTGCTTCAAAAGGTTCTTCAAGCGATGCCATAGAAGAACCATTTTTGGTTCCACAAAGAACCATTCAGTCAAAGGTTCTTTAAAGAACCATCTCTTTCTTACCTTTTTATAATCTGAAGAACCTTCTTTCACCACAAAGAAACTTTTGTGAAACAGAAAGGTTCTTCAGATGTTAAAGGTTCTTTATGGAACCATTTAGACAAAAAGGTTCTTCTATGGCATCGTGAAGCACCTTTATTTTTAAGAGTGTAATACCTAATAAAGTAGTGTTTTTAATCGGAGTGCTGCTTTGTTCACAGAGTTTACGGGAAACAGCTCTAATTCAGTTTTTCCATAAGTGCTACCTGCTGTCAGCGAGTGGATTTACAGAGACTTATATTTACATTCAGCTTGCGTGCAGTTTCTATCTGGCCAAAAACGGACCGAATTTGCATGCCCTGCTGTAAATTTTGACAGGTTGATGAAAAACAAGCTTATGTGGATTCTACACATTTAAACAATTCAGATATTTATCTAGAATTGTTTATGGAGCAGATAAAATACATATAATCATTTATTAATCAATTATCATTTTGACTTAACTCTTTTCTTTATTTAAAGGCTGAACTGTGAGGTTTACCTTAGCTTTATTTGAACATTTACATGAGCTATTTATAGACATGCTATTAAACTGTTTTCAGTCAAGTTGTCATTTAAAATCCGAACATCATTGGTAATGTTGTTTTAGTGATTATGCAAACAAAAAGTCATTTTATTTGTTGTTTGTTGATTTTTAAATATAAAACTTGCTGAAGTGATTTATGTGTCGGTACTTTTTGAACATCTTCAGCACATTTTAACAAAACCGTGATAATACTGATAACAGTGATAATTTTGGTCATTATAATCGTGATAAGACATTTTCATACCGTTACATCCCTAGTTGAAAATTCATATAAAATAAAAATAAAAAAGGAAAAAATTAAAAAGTTAATATTAGCCTTGTATTTTTTAAGTGTACTATAAAATAATTGTATTTTTTATTACTCACGTTTTATTTTTAAATATAATAGTATTCACACTCTTTATTATTTTGTTTATATATATATATATAGATACAGTATATATAGATACACACATACATATACATACATATCCACACACAGTAATCTAAATAAAATGTAATATAATGACAATTCATAAAACGAATTAATCTGAAATATAATGAATTATCATTATTACTATTATTAATAATATTGAATAAAAACTGTGATTGCGAATAAAAAACGAAAATGCCAGGCTTGCTGTGCTTGTTTGCAGAGCTGTACAATTTGGCAAAAATTTGTAATTATATATCAATACATATATATATATATATATATATATATATGTGTGTGTGTGTGTGTGTGTGCATGTATATGTGGTTTATGAGGACACAAATTTGTATAATAACATGGGTATGACATATGTATTGCAACGAGAAGGTGATTTATGAGGACATTTTCAGTGTCCCCGTAATTCAAAAGGCTTATAAATAATTCAGAATGAGTTTTTTTGAAAATCTAAAAATGCAGAAAGTCTCATGTGAGGGGTAGGTTTAGGGGTAGGGTTGGTGTAGGGCAATAGAAAATACGGTTTGTACAGTATAAAAACCATTACGCCTATGGAGAGTCCCCATAAACCATAAAAACAAACCGATGTGTGTGTGTGTGTGTGTGTAAAATAAATATTATAATATAAAAAATAAATAAATAAATAAATAAAATTGTATAAATGTCAAAATAATAAAAATATTATCTAAAAGTGATATTTTAACCAGGATTTTACTTTTTTTTTTATACATCACATGCCCTATATTTCATGTAATGCATGCTCTTTTCTGACACGGTTGTCTCCTTGGTAACCAAGTACATTAACTTTAAATAAAACTTTATTATGAGCATAATTGTTTGTAGTGGAGTTAATTATGCCAACTGAGCATATATTTTTTAAATTGATAGAATTAATTAAAATGAATGCAATAATATGGAATAAAAGGAATCTAAATAGTATAAAACTATCTTTCCAGACATAACAACTCCCTCTGCAGGCAGCAAGAGAAACAATTCAGTCACCAAAAACAGCATTATTGATGCAATGAGGTGTATTTACCTCCTCCTAACAGCATGTGGGTTTTAATGAATTTCACTGACTAAATATATAACTATATTTGATCTTACCTGACACAGTTTAGTGTTGGACCAGACGGACAGGCTGCTTTTTGAAGGGTCTGGTACAGTCTGGCACAGACACTGTTTAATCCTAAAACACAACAATAAACAGTGACTATAAAGACTGCATATTAGTGCATGATATCATATTAAACATATACTGAAATAAGATTTTTTTTTTTCAAGTAAAAGAAAATAGTGCATTAGTGTAAAAAAATATGCTATCAGCAATCAACATCCACTAAAAACGAACCACATTTTAATAACTGAATAACTTTAATAACTAAATCATAATTTTACATGTTCTCTTACCTCACCCTCATGCATACTGGGATGATTAGAAAAAGAAAGCACAGCAGAAGTGTACACAGCAGTATGGGAATCCCTTGCACATCCTCAAGCCCTGTGGGCACACACAACAGGTTTAAAGATAACACTGTGTTCATATGGGCAAGAATGTTGAAAAAAAATTAATCCAAATGGCGTGTCATTCTTACCCACAACCACCATCTGACAGGGCCCAGCGGCGCCCCCTACTGCAGTATGAGCCATTATGCAGATGTTATAGGTTCCTTCTGTCAGTTTACTGAGAGTTATCTGTTCAACATGAGCGTCTACCTTCATACCTTCACAAAATGAAGTGTCAAACTCAAACATGATAGTTCTTTCATCATTTACTTGCCCTAATTTAATTCCCACCCCTTTGATAAAATTGCTTTCCAACATTTCAACATTGCTTTTTGCATCTTACTTTTGTTTTTGCCATTTATGCTGTACAGTACAGTATAGCTCTGGATGAAGCCATGAAGTTTCTCTAAAGGAACAGGGTCCCATTTCAGAACAACACCGCTGCTGCTCATCTTCAGCACTGTCATATCTGGGCCGACAGAGGACGCTGAAACACAGGAACACAGCGATCACTGCAGCCACATGAGAAAGCATTCAAGGGATAGTTCACCCAAAAATGAAAATGCAAGTTGTTCCAAACCTGTATGAATTTCTTTCTTCTGTTGAACACAAAAGAGCATGTTTTGAAGAATTTGGGTAACCAAAGATTTGACGGTTTGACTTCCATAGTATTTTTGTCCATACTATAGAAGTAAATGGCTACTGTCAACTTTTTGGTTACCCCAAGAAATTCATCCAGGTTTGGAACAACTTAAGGGTGAGTGAATGATGACAGAATCTTCATTTTTGGGTGAACTATCCCTTTAAATGTTCCTATCTACTGTTTTTTTAATGTGCCTTTATATTCAGACAAACTTTAATTATGAAAACTTGTTCATGGTGTTATACTGTATATATATTTAAATACAGGTGTTGCCATGAGCTGGATCGGTGTGTACATTGAAACTTTATGCAAATAAGTGAGCAGCTGCACATTTTTTGTTTGTTTGCTTGTTATTCATTATTATATTGACAGCCTTTCTTTAGTTAACAACTTCTTCTTGTTTCTTTATATCTTAATTGGTAAGAAGATTATTAGAAAATAAAATAATACAGAAAAAAATAATTATCCTTAAGGGAGACTGGGGCATGTTGTCACATTATATGGGGTAAGTTGTCACAATGGGAACCTGCAGTCTATTGACAGTGAGATTTGAGATTAATACCTTATTTTTAAGTTATACTATATAAAAGCATATCTAAAAATATATAATATACTTTTATAGACACACACACATCTTCCACAACATACAGTATTTAATGGCTTTTCAGTAAAGTTATGACTGATGACATGCAGATCCGCCAGTATGTACTATTGCTATAGTATATTTAGATTGAAATATGTTTTCACTTTAAATACAATTAATATCCAATCTTAAAATAAATTATTAGAAAATAAAATAATACAGAAAAAAATAATTATCCTTAAGGGAGACTGGGGCATGTTATCACATTATATGGGGTAAGTTGTCACAATGGGAACCTGCAGTCTATTGACAGTGAGATTTGAGATTAATACCTTATTTTTAAGTTATACTATATAAAAGCATATCTAAAAATATATAATATACTTTTATAGACACACACACATCTTCCACAACATACAGTATTTAATGGCTTTTCAGTAAAGTTATGACTGATGACATGCAGATCCGCCAGTATGTACTATTGCTATAGTATATTTAGATTGAAATATGTTTTCACTTTAAATACAATTAATATCCAATCTTAAAATAAAAATAGCATTTAAAAAAATGGGGAAATCTAAATAAGCAATATATTGTTGGTAATAATTTGTCTAGTTTTAAGTCTATTTAAAAATATAGACCTTCTAGCAGAACCAGTATTAATGTACTGTAGCTATAGTATACTGTAGCATGTGTGACAACTAGCCCCAATTTCCCCAACAGATAATGTTTCTGTATTATGATAAGCATGGCTTATGGCAAAAGAGCTGATGAATACTACTGCAATACAACCACATCTTCAGTTCCAATAAATGCATATGTTTCAGTGTAATATCTGACCTCCTTCCCGTGTGAAAGCAATGACCGACATGTGACTTCCTGCCTGTTGCCCATACACACTCATGACCGACAGATTATATGGGATTTCTGGCAGAAGACCTGAAACACACACATACAAACATGGACGAACACTTTTCTGTTGTAGTTCTATGATTAAACTATAATTATTAGTAAAAGACTACAATATAATATCTTAAAAACCAGGCACGGCTAAGGACAATATGACTATACAAAAGTAAATAAATAAATAAACAATACAAAAAAGATATAATAATCATAATATTATTTTATTATTATTGAAAATTTGTAAAAAATTAGACAAAAATAAATATATTAATGGTGTCATTAATTGTAAACTTTTGTGTGATGTGCATCCACACCAACGGGCCACTGTCATACCGACCAGCGAAAACAAAAAATGACTTTTCTATAGGAAAGAAAGTGATTTTTCAGACCTGTGAGAATAAAACTTCTTGCAGTTTCATTCATATGTTCCCAGTGCAGACTAGTTGGTTCACTGTAAGGCACAGAAGTCCATTGCACCACAAAGCCGCTCTCTGATTGGTTCAGTGCAGCTGTCCATTCCACCTTTATTTGAGTGTCATCCAACGGGGTGACGCTGATAATCTGAGGGGGTGGGAGTCCTTCTAGGACAGGAAACAGGAGAGTTCGGGATAAATGACCGCATGGTTTCTGATAATGATGTTGTTTTTATGAACCTTTGTGTAGAATATCCCATAGAGCATCACTATTTCATTAAACAACCACAAGGAAGTTGCTTTGTATTTTTAGCAGGATGTCAGTCTTCCATTCTGCTTGAAAACATGACTTGACCTGCCTGATGAATTTTTGCAGAATAATAGAGAGAAAAAGAAAGAAGTAAACAAAAATAACAATAATTATATTATATTATCTAGCACAGGGGCCCACCTAGACAAGTATAATCTATTTCACTACCTGCCAAAATATTTGAGATCAAAAAAACAACTGACATTACTTTAAGCCTAATCTTAATAAAAAGTTTAATATGACAGAAATGAAGTATTTAAGAAAAATAACCATTTTATTTTAGAGTACAACTGTAAAAGTTCCCTACTAATATTTCAGTTTTAATTTCTTTGTTTACATATGTTAAAATATGAAACGTCCATATAAACATGAAACAGGCTCACTCCAGTGAGCTGTAATCTGCGCTGCGAGTGTTGTTATACTCATCGCGGGGTTCAGCGCAGAAAATGCATTCATGGTCTTTCAGTGTGTAGGGGAGAGCGGAGCACAACCCAACACTTTTTTAGCAAAGCATAAGAAGCAAAGCAGAACTATCTAAAACAGTTTTGAGATTAAAATAATTGTGAAAAAGTTCAAAATAATAAACAGATGGGTCTCATTTTAAATAAACACTAAAAACCAAGATGACAAATTTACTTCAGTCAGAAATGTACTTTTGCAACGGTTAAATAAATGTTAAGCAATATCTTCAAAAGATTTTTTAACTTTGGCACATTTTTTCTCTCAAGGAAATATTGTGAAATTTTGTTATGTGGAAATGTTTAAATCTTGTAGTGTTACAATTAACCCTGCTCACCCCGTACATGTGAAATGCTTTTTACAGACCGTTTCCCGAACGAAAACAGTGCTGAGTTCAAACAGACGATAGAAATGAATGAACATAGCCTACCTGAAACCGCTTTCGTAACATTTGAATTTTGCGCTGTATGCAATCTCATACAGAATACAGCGCATTGAAGTGAGTGAGTTTTTTCTCATTAATAATGCAGACCGATTGAGCCTTTTAATAATGACATTGCTCTGAGACCCTCACTGTTATTACAACTCATGCGCCCATGCTTCAAAACACGCAACGCATGTTTTAAATCGCACTAAGGATATTGCAATTCGTAATTAATGTTGGTAGGCTATATCGTGGAGCCCTAGACTGAACTGTGTGAGTGTGTGTGTCATTGAAACGCAAATTTAGTTGCAGCCAAGTGACTTTGTGCGACTCACCTTGTTCCACTCTGCGACCCACAGTTTGAAAACCCCTGATCTAGCACATTAAAATGTATTAATGCAGCAAGCTGCATCAAGACCAGCCTGGACCAGCTAGAAACCATGTCAACAGTTGTTATTAGCTGCACATTAATTCCGCTGAAAATCCTAAACACACTGAAGCATCCCATCAGTGATTTACCTGCATGTGTATGTGCAGGTATGGAGATGTGAGCTGGAGGTGACGTCCCGGCAGAGTTTGTCACCGTCAGACTGCAGTGACAGGGATCATCAGAGACGATGAGGACGCAAGAGCGTCTGGATGCGTTTACAGCGCCGCAGGTCCACTGTGATGAATCCAGATCACCGCGACAGGACGCAGAGTAACTGAGCACAACACCATTGACCTCAGGCCAGGACACAGGCTGAAACATAAAACCAAGAGATATTAGATGGTATGAACAATTAATCATGTTTTAATGGAGAAAGATGCTAATTGCAGTCAGATGGTTACAAGATCAACCAGCAGGGACTAAAAGGGCCAGGATGAACAGACAAACCTTGACCGATCACAGTTGTATATCATATTTTTTTACATGCAAAAATTAGTCATTCAAATTATTTTGCATTACATTGGTTGAAAATGTATTATAAATCAAATCTCAGGGGTGTTTCAAGAACAAAATCAAGACTTTTTGAAAGAAAGATGCAATACAAAAAAAAACAATCACACAAAGTTTTCAATATGTACTGGTACAAACTAGAATAAATCATTTGAATTAAGTAACAGTGACTAATTATTTCCAGTCAGTATTTGTAAAACAGAATGGAAAATAAATTTGTAATTATTATTTTTTTATTAATTGCATTAAACATATTTAATTAAAATGTTAACGGTAACAACCATTACAATTAAGTGAACCACACAGCATTATAAAGACTTATTTTAACATGACCGCAAATGAAAGTTTACTATTCAGTCAGTATAAAGCAATGGCAATAAATACAGAGTTCTGGCATGAAACTCTAGATGGCGCAGTCTGAGAGGTCTAAATCAATCTGACCTAATGACATCATTATCACATGGCTCAGCTGATTGGTTCTCTCCTGTATTGGTAGCCAATGAGCTCGCTGCTCAACATTCAAATATATGACTAGTTCTTGCCGTAGCAGTTGCAGCTTGCTTCAGAAACCCTCCACCTTCCCCAGCTCCACCTGTATAGATCTGCCACGAGGTGATTCATGTTATGTTATATTTGCAGCAGCAATATTTCTTACATGCTCACAGCAGCATGTTGTGAATATATTGGCAGTAGCAAGTCTCGGTACTTGCTCTGCAGCAGCAGCAGCGTAGCAGATCTATTCCGCCAAGATCAAATACATTAACATTGTCATGTACATTACCACGCCAATCCCTCCGAGAGTTTTCATGACAGAACTAAGAATCAGTGCTACTTTAGTTTTGAGATACTATTTTATCTTTTATTAATATTTTGAATTAGTTTTTACTTTACATTTTCCATTTTCATTTTACTTTGAGTACTTTTAGTAATTTTGTTGTGTGTTTTTGTCATGTTTACTGTTATTATTATTTTTAACATCTATAAATATGCATAAACATGCAAAGCAATGAACATTCATGAATTTAACTGGTACAGGGTTAGTTGTGGGTTCTGTGTTCATTTCCTGTTCCAGATGTTCCAGCAGCTGTAAGCCAGGAATCATTCTTTTAGGCTATTAGGCTTTCAAAGGTTATTGCAAGCAGTGAAAGACTGGAGACAAAACTGCTTATTAAAACCTATTAAGTTCAGCTGAAGCCACAGGTGAATAATCATTATTCCATCAAACTCAACAAGTGAGTGAGGAGACGGACCAGCCGGAAGAATTTGTTTCTGTTTATGATCTCATCTCAAGCGTGTGTGTTTGTGCATACAGAATAAATCTAATGCACATTAAAACCACAAATTCAGGTCCTTGATGCTGATTGTTCAATACATCACACCAGCTGTGCTCAAATGCATGATAAAGTATCAGCTGTGAAAGGAAGTTGTACGCCATCCAGATACCAATCACACCACAGCATAAAATCTATTTCTTCTGGCCAGAATATATTTCAAATATATACTAAATATATGCAAACAGCATTGCTTAAGGAAATATATTTATTTAAACCTTTAAATGCCAAAAGATATTACAAAATGTACTTCAAGGGACAAACATACTGTATATTTCCAATCTTTAATATATATTTGGGTGTGTAATTAAATGAATGAAATAATTAATAAATGTCCTTTAAGTACATTTAAAATATCCAATCTCAAAATACAGTTTGGATAGATAGATAGATAGATAGATAGATAGATAGATGTCCTTAAAGTATACTTAATATATCCAATGTTAAAATAAAATTTGAATGAATGAATGAATTAATTCAGGTAAGTTTTTGTTAAGTATTTTTTGTTAAGTAAAATCTATAAAAGCAACATGTTGTTTGTATACTTTAAAATATATTTAAATCTTCCAGCAGAAGGGTGATATTTAATGAAACTGCTTAAAGGGCTAGTTCTGTCATCATTTTCTCACCCGCATGTCGTTCCAAACCTGTATGACATTCTTTCTTCTGTGGATCCCAAAAAGAAGATATATTTTGAGGAACATCAGGGTCCAAACAACTTTGGATCCCATTGACTTACACTGTATGGACAAAACACACTGACATTCTTCAGAATATCTTCTTTTATGTTCCACAGAAAAAAGAAAGTCGTACAGGTGGGATGTGAATGACATGAGAGTATATGATGACAGAACTATCCCTTTAAAAATATGTCAGATATGCAGATGGTTTAATCAGTAAATCAAGTGCTAAATTGTGCTAAATTGAGGTGGGTGGTAAGTGTGGAGTGGGTGGGGTGGCAGGATGTGGTCGTGCTGTTTGTCAGATTTAAGCTGACAGAGGAAAATCTCAACGAATGTTATTAAAACAGGAAGTGCCTGGAGCCACAAGCAAAATTAATCTTTCATATCTGTCATGGATCTATTTACATGTCTATATTCATGCTGTTGGTTTGTTTTTGTTCATATGGCAGGTGGAAACTTACAGGTGCATCTCAATAAATTAGAATGTTGTGGAAAAGTTCATTTATTTCAGTAATTCAACTCAAATTGTGAAACTCGTGTATTAAATAAATTCAATGCACACAGACTGAAGTAGTTTAAGTCTTTGGTTCTTTTAATTGTGATGATTTTGGCTCACATTTAACAAAAACCCACCAATTCACTATCTCAACAAATTAGAATATGATATATATTATATATATTATATTATATAATATATTCATAAGACCAATAAAAAAACATTTTTAGTGAATTGTTGGCCTTCTGGAAAGTATGTTCATTTACTGTACATGTACTCAATACTTGGTAGGGGCTCCTTTTGCTTTAATTAGTGCCTCAATTCGGTGTGGCATGGAGGTGATCAGTTTGTGTACTGTTGAGGTGGTATGGAAGCCCAGGTTTCTTTGACAGTGGCCTTCAGCTCATCTGCATTTTTTGGTCTCTTGTTTTTCATTTTCCTCTTGACAATACCCCATAGATTCTCTGTGGGGTTCAGGTCTGGTGAGTTTGCTGGCCAGTCAAGCACACCAACACCATGGTCATTTAACCAACTTTTGGTGCTTTTGGCAGTGTGGGCAGGTGCCAAATCCAGTTGGAAAATGAAATCAGCATCTTCAAAAAGCTTGTCAGCAGAAGGAAGCATGAAGTGCTCCATAATTTCTTGGTAAACGGGTGCAGTGACTTTGGTTTTCAAAAAACACAATGGACCAACACCAGCAGATGACATTGCACCCCAAATCATCACAGACTGTGGAAATTTAACACTGGACTTCAAGCAACTTGTGCTATGAGCTTCTCCACCCTTCCTCCAGACTCTAGGACCTTGGTTTCCAAATGAAATGCAAAACTTGCTCTCATCTGAAAAGAGGACTTTGGACCACTGGGCAACAGTTCAGTTCTTCTTCTCCTTAGCCCAGGTAAGAAGCCTCTGACGTTGTCTGTTGTTCAGGAGTGGCTTAAGAAGAGGAATACGACAACTGTAGCCAAATTCCTTGACACGTCTGTGTGTGGTGTCTCTTGATGCCTTGACCCCAGCCTCAGTCCATTCTTTGTAAAGTTCACTCAAATTCTTGAATCGATTTTGCTTGACAATCCTCATAAGGCTGCGGTTCTCTCGGTTGGTTGTGCATCTTTTTCTTCCACACTTTTTCCTTCCACTCAACTTTCTGTTAACATGCTTGGATACAGCACTCTGTGAACAGCCAGCTTCTTTGGCAATTAATGTTTGTGGCTTACCCTCCTTGTGAAGGGTGTCAATGATTGTCTTCTGGACAACTGTCAGATCAGCAGTCTTCCCCATGATTGTGTAGCCTAGTGAACCAAACTGAGAGACCATTTTGAAGGCTCAGGAAACCTTTGCAGGTGTTTTGAGTTGATTAGCTGATTGGCATGTCACCATATTCTAATTTGTTGAGATAGTGAATTGGTGGGTTTTTGTTAAATGTGAGCCAAAATCATCACAATTAAAAGAACCAAAGACTTAAACTACTTCAGTCTGTGTGCATTGAATTTATTTAATACACGAGTTTCACAATTTGAGTTGAATTACTGAAATAAATGAACTTTTCCACGACATTCTAATTTATTGAGATGCACCTGTATATTAAACATGAATTAAATATTAATGTGTCATTGTTTAGTTTTAATATATTTTCCAGTAAATACACCCTGACTGTGTCTTCTCAGAGGAAAGAAAAAACACAAATTAGCTCATTTGTGTCTGTGTTTAATTCTCAATTCAAAGAATTGTAGCTGAGCCATCTTTATATAAAGTTGAACCAACATATCAGCTGATTCTCAGCTGATCACATCTACCTATAGGAATACGACACCTATTGCGGCATTCCTATATAAGCTCTATTCAGTATTATTCAGCAGCTTTTCAGCTTGCTCCGGAGCAAATTAAGCATCGCTGCTCGCAAATCAACTGTTATAGCGTGTTTCAGAACATCTGAAATCCACATCTAAGTTAAGTGAATGCTGTTTCAATCCATATTGCTGTGTATATTACCTGGTCTGCTAATTGAGAAAAGCATATTTGGAGCAGCATTTACGCATCTGTGTTCATACAGCTGGAGCAACACATAGTCTAGAGCATGTAATCGCTCTGAGGACACGCCAACAGTTAAGGCCATGAGAACAAGTTTAAATGAAACAAGCATTCTCGTGTATGCGTTTCAACTGGGGTTCGCTGTATTCAGCGGCATAATCTCAATGTTACGGTTGTTTATTTCTAAGGTTGATGTTTCATTAGCTGTGTGAGTGTGCGGT